AAGTTGTTTGTGGTCTCTGCTGAGCTGTTTTAATTTTTACCCTTACACAACAAACACACACACACATACACACACACACTTCTTTACTCAATAGGAAGAAAGTAGGCTGATTGAAGGCATTTTATTTTAAAAAGTCCAAAAAAAAAAAACCCACCAAATTCTTGGTACTCAGGAGACCAAGCCAGAGGATTCAGAGGTTGCCCCAAGTTTGAGGCCAACCTGATTTGCATAGCGAATTTTAGTCCCACTTGGGCTCTATAGTAAAGTCATGTCCATCTAAAGAGAAAGTCCCAAGACAACCAGAGCTGCACAGAGAAACCCTGTCTCAAAAAAAAAAAAAAAAAAAAAAACCCTACAAAAAACCCCAAAAACAAAAAACCAAAAGCAACCCAGCAAACAAAAGTATAGAAATGACCCAATACATACTGAAAAATTTAGAGTGATGGATTTTGTTTCAAAAATATAACTTAAAAATGCATCTAGGAGGCCGGGCGGTGGTGGCGCACGCCTTTAATCCCAGCACTTGGGAGGCAGAGGCAGGCGGATTTCTGAGTTCAAGGCCAGCCTGGTCTACAGAGTGAGTTCCAGGACAGCCCGGGCTATACAGAGAGACCCTGTCTCAGAAAAAAAAAAAAAAAAAGAAAGAAAAAAAGAGAGAAAAAAGAAAAGAAAAGAAAAAAAAAGGATTTAAAAAAAAATGCATCTAGGAGCTGGTGAGATGGTTCATTGTACAAAGGGGCTTTCTGCCAAGCCTGACAAGCAGTGCTCAATCTCCAGGACCCACGGTAGAAGGAGAGGATTCAGTTCTGCAAGTAATCTATGACCCACCACATGCAGGTGCACAGTGGCATACTTCTCCTTCCTGCACACAACATAAATGTAGTAAAATTATTTTAATGAGTGTATTTTAACCATGATCAACTCAAACACTGCCAATAAGATGCCAAGTACTCTGCTGGGCACGGTAAAGGAAATGTGACCACACTCATGTTTTCCTGTCAAAATGTGTTAATTGGAATTAGTTTCCGAACAGAAATAATATATACCAAGATGCTTAAAAATATACTGGACCTATAATTCAGTTATTCAGGGTAAAATCTGGTCAAAAGAAACAATTCACAGTGGTTTTCTACACTTGGTGCCTATGGCAACGTACTTTGAATGAATGGAAGGCTTCAAATAGCAAATGGAACAAGAAATCAGTCATTCAAAGATGGACTAATGAGGACCACTAAAGCTGGAATCGAGCTATAAAACCACAGGAAGATATGCTGTATGGTGAGTGAGGATACTTTAAATCTAGACAGAAAGATACAGTTATACCAAAGTGTAACACATGGCCAGGCTTCATATACAGGCCTGCAAGACCAGCTTCTTGAGTGGCAGAGGCAGGAAGAGCTCAAGTTCAAAGCCTGCCTGGGTTACAGAGCAATACCTTGTCTCAAAAGAATGAGCAGGGAGGCGGGAATGGGTGTGGCTCAGTGGTAGGGGGCTTGCCAAGCATGCAGGAGTCCAGGCCTAGGTCCAGTGCCTAGTATTAAAGAAACAAAACAAAAATGCAATCCAAATCCAATGGGATTATGGGAGGCTTGGTTTCGTTTGATTGTTCCTGTTTTTGATGCGTGTATTCTATATGTTTTGAAGTTTTCTTAGTTTTAGAATTTAAAAAAAAGGTTTATTTCATGTCAAACATATTTCAAAAATAAAGATGTTTTCTTGTCAATTAAGTGTATTTAATACACTTTTGAAATTGACATCCTAAGTCCAGCTGTGAGAAGACTGAGGCAGGAAAATCAAAAGTTCAAAGCCAGTGTGGGCTACGGAGCAAGGCCCTGCCTTACAAACCAATCAGTAATGCTCACCTGCCAGGGAGATGGCAGGGCCAAGAATTCAGCTTTCACAGGGTAAGGCCCATCTCCTGCAATCTGATGTGCTAACCCTGTGATTTTCTCACATACAGGAAATTCAACTGCATAACTTTCTGGTAGTGGGGGGACTATATTCATGTTCTCCTCTGTAAAGAGAAGGAAAAGCAAAACCAAGCAACAGTTCAATGAAAACGTAATTTTCTATTAGCACAATAAAAAAAAAACACAGGTTACCAAGTCCTATGTAGTAATTTCTGCAGAAACTACAAAGGACCAAGAGGGGCAGCCAGGATGATTCCGTGGACCAAGGTGAAGATTGTCTTGTGGTCAAGCCTGACGATCTGCTTTCCATCTCTGACTTCCATGTGGTGAAAGGGGAATGAGAGAAAACCAACTCCCCAGTTGTTCTCTGACCTCCATGTGTGCACCATGGCATGTGCACACTCACACCCACACACATAAAATACGTTCTTTAAAAATCCTTTAAAAATTGAACAAGAAAGCCCATGGCCCTCCCTCAAAGGCCTCTGTCTCTTTGTTTTTCTGTCTCTATCTCTGTGTCTCTGTCTCTTTCTCGTGTGTGTGTGTTCTATCACCATTAGTAAAAAAAAAATGTGGCCAGGGCAGGATCATTCAATCCTCTGAGGACTTGAATAGAACAAAAATATAGGAGGCCAAAGCCCCTCCCACAGGCAACCTCTCCCCACAAACCTCTCCTAGCCCCAGACTTTGTCCTCAGACTGGGTTCAGACCTTTGGACTGAATGACATCACTGGCTATCAGCCATCAGGTCATGGGATGTCTCAGCTGAGCCCCACAGCCCATTTCCCCTCAGCTACCTCACATCATATGACCTGTTGGTCTGATTCTCTGAAGAACCTGAGCATGCACTTTGGTGATCTGGGAGGGGACAGCTTTGCAACTAGTCTGTTCCCTTCCTCTCCTTCCTTCTCTGATGACAATATTCTTAATTAAAGGTCTGACCTCAGAGTTCTCTGTTTTCTCATTTCTTCAGTGTTTCTACTTCTGCCCTCCTGAACTACCCACGGACACCTTTCTTGTGTCTCACAGCTACATGACAGACACTCTGTGGTCCTCAGGAGAGGTATTCTTTTCCCTGGCCATAACATCTTACTCTTCCACAGACATGCTTCGACAGGCCTCTGTCTAGTGCATTCTTCCCGACCTTGATCTTCAATGAATAGTAGTAATATGGATGCTGTCTTTTCCCCATGATATACAACCTGCTTCCCCCTCATCCTTGTGGTATTTCTGCTGTGCTCATTCTGCTGATTTCTGGGACCCCATCTCATTATCTGTACAAGCCCCATTCTCATGGATAAGCTTCATAGACAGGTTTGCTTCAGTAGAAACCCAGCAGGAGAGAGTGGGATAGACATGGAATGGGATTCTCATTTATAGGGAAGGAAAACCCACTTCTCTGAAGCCAGGTTTCCCATCTGTATAAGGTCTAGCAACACCTCCTGGAAGAAAATGTCTGTTGGCTGGTCAGAATCAAAAGATGATGACCAAACTCTCCAGCAGCACGTGACTAATTTCCAGTACATAACAAAAGGGCCACAAAGAATTCCTTTAAGGCTAAGGATGTAACTGTGTTGAGGTACTACATGCCTACCAAGCATACAACCCTGGGATCTAGCCCCTGAACCACACAAACAGGTCATATATTTGTAACCTAGCATTCAGGGGCTAGAGGTAGGAAAGTCAAGGTCACTCATGGTCACATAAGAAGTTGGAGGACAACTTGAATTATATGAGACCCTATCTCAAAAAGAAAATATGGATAGTGGGAGTAGGAACAAAAAACCCCAAATATTCCCGTTTAACCTTTGGTAGGCCAACTAGTGACCAAGAACTTGGGTTCAAACCCTAACTCTGTAGTTAGGAGCTGGGAGACCCTGGGCATAGGGCTGCCCTACCTGCTGTACCGAGGCCTGTAAGGATCAGAACCAAAAACATGAGCTCTGAATCAAGAACCTGGCACTGAAAGACGGCTGCCATGGGTCCACTACTGTCTTCTTTAAACTTGTGAGGTGATGTCAGACGGGCACAGACCACAGCAGATTTATCTGTTTCCAGAAAATTCTTTGCACACGTGCTTTGTGCTCTGTCTGCAAATCATAGTCCCCCTTATATAATGACTACAGTGGTCTAGTGATGACTACAGAAATGAACACTTTGGAGTAATTACTGTGCTTGTATATGATATATTAATATAGGTACTCCACAGGTGCTGACTTAGTTTGCCCTACCATCGTTATGAAGTAAACACTATGATTTTCTTCAATTGTAGATAAAGAAACTGTCATAGCAACGGCAACTAATTTCTAAGGTTATAACACCAGTAAGCAGAAAAGCCTAGATTCACCCTTGATCTAGCCACTACCACACTCTCCTGACTTTCTCAACGACTGTTTGTCAGCTGAAAGTGAACATCTATGAATGAATTTTCTAAGACTACCCTGAGAAAAGAGAAAAGAAACAGGGTTGCAGAAGGTGGCCAGCTAGCCCATGGTTGCCTCTGTCCCTGCACAGCTTGTTTCCTCACTGGGCGGTTTATTCTAGTCCTTGACTCATTTGAAACTGGGTCTGTCTGTGGCTGTCTTCCTATGTAGCCCCAGGCAGGTATAGAAGTCACTATTTAAGTGAGCCCAGCTTCTGATTGGCAATTCTCCTGCCTCCATTTCCTGAGTACTGAGATTACATACATGTTACCACATCCAGCTAATTATCACTAAAAGTACTGTGAGTGTTCTCATTCTTTGTCTGTTTGCTTGTTTTCCAGTGCTGAGGATTGAATCCAGGGACTTGTGCTTGCTAGGCAAGCACTCTACCACTGAGCTACAGTTCCGTGTCTGCCTACGGCTACTCTGATTAATATAGAGCATGGTACAAGTGATTCTTGGAAACCAGGTCTGAGGTAACTTCCTCATGACTCTTTTGTTGTGTTTCCTATGAGGAAAGCCAGCTGCTATAAAGTGAAGAAATTCAAGATATTCAGATGCACAGTGTATGTGCAGAGAGATGCTGTATGATAGTCACATCCTCCAACTGTCCCAGCTCAGACACCATACTTTCAAGGGAAAGCACCTGACAACATTACTATCTTCCACATCCACTCCACAGGGAGACCTCCAGTCAAGCCCTTCCACAGAACCACCAGGAACCGTAATATACCATTTTCACTGCCAAGCTTTCTTTGCTTGACTAGCTACACAAAATCTTCTGTACCAGTACTACAGGGGAGAAATCTCCATTTAACCTCAATTCCAAGAAAGGCTGGGTAATTGAGTATCTTTTTTCTGCCTGCCCCTGTCCCCTGCCCCCACTCACACCCAAGTCCATTCATGGACAGGGAGTTGTGTGTTCTGGACAGGGCCCTCTCAGTGTGGCCGATCTAAGCCCTGTGGTAGCCATCATATGCAATTTTAATTGACTTTCCATTTTTCACCTGGTTGCTTCTCTATTTTCTTCCTTTTAATACACCTATCTTTTCCCTTGTTCCTCTCTCTCTCTCTCTCTCTCTCTCTCTCTCTCTCTCTCTCTCTCCCTTTCCCACCCCAGCCTCCTACCCTTCCTTCCTCTCCACCCCCACCCCCCCCACCCCCCAGGCTTCTCACAGGCTTACATTCAGGGAGCTGAGGATGATAATACCTTCCAGGGAGGAATGTATGAAATTTACAAAAAATGGTCACTAGGTTAGGATGAAGTCCCACAGTCTTGTTTTCGGGTAGTGAGACTTTCAGACTCATGGTTATTGTGTCCTTTGCATGGCGGCCAGAACAGGAGAGACAGTAGATGTACTTTGAGAGGACAGAATGGGTCAGTACTGTGGAGCCTTGGTGTAGCTACCTTTCAGGCTGGGTCTTGAGGGATGCAGGGCAAGTTCTGAGAACAAACAAAAACCAATGCATAATCCAATGCTGTTTTAGCTCTGGCTGGAGGGGGCTCGACCAGGCAATGTATCTTGTACTGTGTTTAAGGCCACATATTGGCTGGAGGTGAAATCAAATCAAAGATTGAAGCTAAATTATCAAGGCCTTTGGGGGCTTGCTTTCTCCACTAAGGGAGCCTGTTCTCTTCCCCTGGTGAAGTTCCATTGCTGCTTCCAGATACGGCCTTGTTCCTTGAGCAAAGCCGGGTGGCATAATCCCAGACACACAGAAGGAAAAGGGAACCATATCAGCTACAGTGGTGTTTGAGACGACAGGGAATGTTTACTTTTCATTTTCCTTCTCATATGCTTTCCAGATTTCCTATAATGAACATTGTTACTTGCAGAACGTTGGAAAATTAAAAAAAAAAGCTTTATTTTTGTATTGCCTTCTGTGCTGTACTAAAAGGACTTTGGTTTATATTGTAGGCAGCAGAGAGACATTGGATTATTTAGGAAAGAAACAATCCCATCTGGTTTGGGAGTAATGCCCAGTGCAGTGTGGAGGTGTCTCTCTAGAGCATCTGCCCGTGGCATGCCCCAGAAGCACCAAGAACCACAGGATGATTCTACAAACATCATGGACAGGCTCCAGTGTAAGGCCCACTCATCAACCTCTCTGCTTCTGAGTCTGCTGTTGCTTGGCAACCCTCTCAGTGACACCCTTTCTTTTCTACCAACAGCTCTTCCAAATCTGCCATTTCTTTCCCAGCTCTGCCTGTTCTCTCTCTTCAGGTGATGGTAGAGAGAATTCATTGTGGTTTGGATGCTGTGGGAGAATTTCTCTTGCCTTCTTTCTGTTTCCTATTAGGTCTAGTGCCTCAGTTGCTAGGTCCCAATAAATACTTGATATCTTTTCAAATCAAGGGTTTTTCATTTATGTTGGAAGTAATATTTTAATGAAATATATTCTAGTACATGATAAATGCCTTTGATATAGGCACAGATCTGAGTTTGGAGGGCTCCTGGTGAAATTTTCAGTTTCCACGAATCTTACCAGGGACAAATGTTAGAAATAGAAAAAGGGGCAGTTTCTTAGGGAAGGGAAAGGCACTGCCAAGACTGAGAACAGGCTTGAGAGCTCACCTGCAGCAATTTCTTCTCAAATAAAACCTTCCAACTTGGGGAGAAGCTCTTAAAACATAGGATGTTTTAAAAGGAGCCAGAACATTCCATCCTGCAGGGGACCTTGTT